GCGCGGCGCAGCGCGGCGCGCGAGGAGGTCCGCCGCGCCCTGGCCCCGCCCGTGGTCGACTTTGCGCGCGTGTGGACCGACAACGGGCGCGTGACCGCGGGGCGGGGCGTGTCCGTCTGGCGCCCCGTGGCGCCGCCGGGCTACGCGTCGCTGGGCGACTGCCTGGTGCGTGGCCTGGACCCGCCGCAGAGCGCCTGCGTGGTGCGGGACTCGGGGCCCGGGGAGGGGCCTGGCGCTGCGGGCGCCAGCGGCGCCAGGCAGCTGCCGCTGCTCAGCGACCCGCAGCAGCTGGAGCTGGTGTGGCAGGACACCACCAGCCGGGAGGACGTCCGCCTGACCATCTGGCGGCCCCAGCCCCGCCTCGGCTACGTCGCCGTAGGGCACGTGGCCGCGGTCGGCACGCGCGCGCCGCCGCGCGGCGCCGTCAAGTGCCTGCGCGCCGACGCGGCCGCGCGCGCGCGCCTGGCCGCCGCGCCTGCCTGGGTCGTCCGCGACGAGGACGACACCTTCCCCCAGCTGTCGGCCTGGATCAGCGACGAGGCGAGCCACACGTTTGTCACCATCAACTCCGCGCGGGGGCGGCCGGGGGAGGTGTGGGCGCTCAAGCTGCCGGAGGACGACGGGGAGGGCGAGGCGGGAGAGGTTGCGGCGCAGCAGGTGTGTGTCTCTGTGTGTATGTGTGTGGGGTATGTTTCTTGTGCGCACGGATTTGCAGAAGTAGGTCTGCGAGATTTGATCATCTCGGCAGCGATGAGAACTGGCAGATGGCACAAAAGTGCTGCTCTTTTCCCTACTCCCGGGCATCTCATGTCCTTCGCACAGCCTCACCTTTTTTACATCACTCCACCACTCATTCCTCCCCTTGAATCACGACCCAACCCACAGGGCGGCGTGAACGTGGTGGCGCGCATCGGCAAGACCCGGGTCCTCCTCCGCGACGCCTTCCGCGTGCCGCTGCTGGAGCTGGATGTGGGGGCCCTGGACGCCGGGGTCCAGGGCCCCAGCCCCACCGTGGTGCAGGCCTACGTCGGCTTCTCCCTCAGCCTGTGGAGCCACAATGGGGCGCTGCGCGTGTGGGAGCCGGTGGTGGAGCCCTGGAACGGCATCTTCATCTGCGACGCCAACCTGGGCGGGCGCCCCGCGCACGGCATCAAGCCCGGCATGCACATGTCCCTCAAGTCCTCCAGCGAGGCCGTGGTCACCACGCTGAGCTACGCGGCCGTGAGCTCCCTCCTCGCCGCCCACCGAGACTGGCAGGTGGGTTCAGAAGGGGGGGAGGCGGGCCCTTTGGGGGGGGGTGTAAGAGTGCAGCGGGTGATATGAGCGCCCGTATTGGGTGCATTGCGCAGATTTGAGTCGGTGGCAGCACGGATGGGGGTTTCTGAATACCCGCGCCGCCCGTCACATGCAGGAGCTGCAGCGCAGGGGGCAGGAGGGGGACACCGCCTCGACCGTCGCGCGGGCCCTGCCCGGCGGCGGCGCGGCCGCGCAGCATGTGCTGGTGGACAACACGCTGGGCATCGATGCCGCCATGGAACTGGACTTTGGCAACCGCCTGTGAGTAGGCTCGGGGGGTCGGAGAGGGAGGTCTGGGGATTGGGAGACTCGGATGTAGAGCGAGGGGTCTGGGGCCCCTCAGCCCGGTGATGCAGGCGGCGAGGTGATACTTTGCACAGTCCCGCGCCCACCCATTCTGGGCCGCTCAAGCCTGCGGCACTCCTCCCACCGACCCCGTCCATCACCCACCCAGGGAGATGGTGCGGCTGCCGGCCGGGCACGCCACCCGCATCCTGCGCCCGCTGCCCAGCTATGCGCCGCGGCGACGCGCGGCCCCTGCGCCCGATGCGAGGCCCCTGGACCTCCTCCTCGTGGATGTGGAGAGCCTGGAACTGGAAGGCGACGGCCTGGGCAGGCTGCGCGGCGCACGCCTGTACTGCACCGTCGAGCTGGAGCTCGGCCCCGGCGCCGAGGCGACCAGCGGAACAGAGCGCGGCGCCGGGGCGCGCACGCGGGCGCTGATGCCGGGCGGCGCCGGGCGCGTGGCCTGGCGGGAGCGGCTGGTGCTGGCGCTGCCGCCGGGCGGCGACCCGGCGACGATCAAAGCGCTGCGCTTCGACGTCTGGGACGGCGGCGCGCGGGGCGGCGCCGGCGCGCGGCTGGGCTCGCTCGCGGCCCCGCTCGCCGCGCTCTCCGGCGCCAAGGAGCGCAGCGAGCAGCTGGTGGAGGGCCCCGCCGGACCCGGCGCGCTGCGCGCGGCCTGGCAGGTGCAGCGCGAGCGCTCCGGCGGCGCGGCGGCCCGCCACGACGCAGGGCTGGAGTCGGCGGGCCAGCGCGCGCTCTCCGTGGCCTCGCAGGAGGGCATCTGGACCGTGATCCCGGCGGCGGGGGCCCGCGCGGGGCGCGACGACGCCGGACGCGGCAGCGCCGTGCCCGTGCGCCTGGGCGCCGAGACGCTGGCGCTGGAGTCGGGCGTGCAGGCCGGCGCGCGGCGCGAGACGCTGCGCACGCTGTGCGTCGTCCGCAACACGACGGCCCTGGCGCTGGAGGTGGCGCTGGGCGAGGCGCCGGACGCGGACGCCGGCGCTGGCAGCGCGGGCAACGGCGCCGGTGTAGTGGAAGAGGTGCTGGAGCACCAGCGCTGGCGGCCGCGCGTGGGCTGGGCGGGGTCCAATCTGCACCCGAGGGACCCCGCGCGCTTTGAGCACGGCACCGCGCGCCGCGACGACTTCCCCCAGGTCGACCCGCCGCGCGGCTGGGAGTGGGACAGCGGCTGGCAGCTGGACCGCGGGTCCGCGGGTGAGAAGGAGGGCTGGGTCTACGCCCCGGACTTTTCCCGCGTCCGCTTCCCCGCACCCGACGGTGAGACGGGAGGGGGGGGGGGGGGGGGTGAGAGGAGGTGGGCTGCGGTGACTGTGATCCGGAGTGGCGACATCCCGCCGCTGCTGAATGGGGGCCAGGGAGCTCCTTGATGCACAGCAGCGTCTCACGCGAGACAGGAGAGCGCTGCCGGCGACGTTTGCATCCAGCACGCCTGGGACTGCGGCACAGAACATCACCACCTCTATGTCTCGTACGGATGCTCCCGCGCTGCTCGACACTCGCTCACACCGGAACAACCAACCCTTCCAGCCGGCGCGTACAAGCCCTCCCCGAGCGATACGGTGCGCGTGCGGCGCTGGGTGCGACGGCGCGTGCGTGCGGGGTCGGCGCGCCGGGGCCTGACCCCGCAGGCCTCGCTGGTGCTGGAGGCGCCCCCCGCGCCCCGCCCTCCGAGGGTGGTGGGCGTCGTGGCGTCCGGCTCCACCCTGCCCCTGCCCGTCGGCTGGGACCGGTCGGGGTCCCAGCTCCTCCTGCGCCCCGCGCCGGGGGAGTGCGGAGGCGAGGAGGAGGGGGAGGCCGGCGAGGAGGAGGGGGAGGCCGGCGAGGGAGCTGTCGCCGAGCAGAAGGCTGGAAAGCGCAACTCCCTGGCCCACAGCGCAGGCCCGCCCAGCCACGGCTGGAGCGAGGGCGCGGGCGCGGGCACACACACTGTCCTTCTGGACTGCCTGGACGAGTCGGTGACGCGGCTGGTGCGCTGCGCCCCGCTGGCCGGCCCCGATGCCGGGGGGGGCGACACGCACGGCTCGCAAGCGGAGGCTTCGATCTCCAGAGCCCCACCCCCAGCCTCGGCGGCGGAGGCGTCCAGCCTGTGGTTTGCGGTTACGCTTGAGAGCAGCCCGCTGGCGGAGGCCGGGGCGCGGGACTGCGAGGCTCCGCTGGACTGGCGGGCGGCGGCCGCCCCGCCGCTGACGCTGGTCAACCAGCTGCCGCTGGCGGGCAGCCTGCTGGTGTGGCAGGAGGATCCGGCCACGGGCCAGCTGGTCAGCCGTCAGACGCTGCGCGTGCGCAGCGGGCAATGCGCGCCGGTGCATGGTGCCGACCTGCGCTCCGCGGTCAGCTTCTCCTTCTATCCCGACGGCTACGAGTGGATGGAGGCGGCGCCGGCGCTGGCCGCCGCCGGCGCGCGCCGCGCGGGGGCGCCGGGCGCCGCGCTCCCCGACCGCGTGCGCCTGGGCCGCCCCGGCGCCAGCCTGGCAGTGGAGGTGTACGTGCGCCGCGCGGTGGAGTACGGACCCTGGCTCCTGCACGCCGCGGAGGAGGTGGATGCCAGCGAGGCGGCGGCCCGCGGCGTACCGCTTAGCCTCACCCTGGCGGCGCCGCTGTGGATCGCCAACACCACGGGCCTGGCGATGGATGTGGCCGTCGTCGCCGTCGCGGCGCCGAGCAGGGGCGCGTCGGCGAGCCCCGGCGCCTCTTTTTCATCGAGGGCCGCCAGACGCGACTCCGGCACGGCCCGCGCGCCGCCGCCGGCGCGCGGCGACCTGCGGCGGTTGGTCACCGACGGCGGGGAGGGCGGCGGCGCGGCGCGCGACCTGCCTGCCCAGCGCCACGTGGCGCCGGGCAGCCTGGAGCTGCTGTCCTACCCCGTCCCCGCCTGGTCGTCCGCCGGGGGGGGCCCAGGGAACGACAGCGTGACCGCGTCACGCAGCAGGGCCTACGGCGTGCGCCTGCGGGTGGCCGGCTCCGGCTGGACCCCGCCGCTGGCGCTGGAGGCCGGCGCCGCTGGTGCCAGTCCAGGCGGCGACGACTCCCCCCTGGACGGCCTGGAGCCGGTGCTGGTCCAGGCGCGAGTGCGTGAGTTTGGCGTGACGCACGAGGTGGTGGCGCGGCTGGAGGTGGCGCCCCACGCCGGCTCCCAGATCCTGCGCCTGGAGCCCCACGTCGTGGTCAGCAACCGCACGCCGTTGGACGTGTCGCTGCTGCACTGCGCGGGCCTGGTGGAGCGCGTGGCTGAGCGCGGCGGCGCAGAGGTCTCGGCCGTGATACTCCCGCGCGGCGCCTCCAGCTTCTCGGCGGCCCCCACCACGCGCTCGGGTCAGGGCGCGGCGCTGCGTGCGGGCCCGGGCCCGCGCCTGGTCAGGCCCTCCGCCGGACTGTTCGTCGGCGACGGCGGCGACAGGGGTGCAGGCGGCGTGCAGACCAGCGCCGGCCCGGACCCTCTCGCCGCCCCCGCGCCGCCGCGGCTGATGGCGACGGGCGCGCTGGTGAGCGTGCACGCCGCGGCGCCGGCGCTGGTGTTGCCCGCGGGGGCCTGCGCGGTGCCGCTGCACCTGCCCCTGGCCTCGCGCCGGCACGAGGTGTGCCTGCGCCTGGGCGGAGGTGTGACCCGCGACGGCCCCACGCTTTGGAGCCGGCCGCTGACGCTGCGCTACCCGGCGGAGGAGACGCTGCACGTGCTGGCACCCTGCGCGGCAGCCGGCGACGGCGACGCGCGCGTGGCGTTGCTGCGCCTCAGCATATCGCGCCGCGCGCCGGGCGCCCTCCTGGTGGTGCTGGAGTCGGCGGGCGGCGACCCGCCCTACAGCGTCGAGAACCGGAGCCGTGTGGCGCTGCAGTACCGCCAGGCGCACGTCCCGGGCGCGCCCTTCCACGAGCTGGCCCCCTTCTCGGCCACGGGCTGGGCATGGGAGCACACGCTGGCGGGGGCGGCGTACCGCCTGGAGCTGCAGGAGGGCGCGGGCGAGGCGCGGGCCTACGCGCTGGACGCCGGCGCGGGCGTGGCGGGCGAGGGCGGCGGCGCGGCGGCCCTGGACCCGCTCCCCCTGTCGGTGCGCCCGCGCTCCTGTGCGGTGGTGGCCTCCTACGTGGAGCAGACGGCGGCGGCGCCCGCCGGCACCGCGCGCATCGAGGGCGACGGTCCGGGCGGCGCGCTGGGCCGCGGCGGCGTGGACCGCCAGCTGGTGGTCGCGCCCGGCGCGGCCGGCGCGCTGACGCGCTCGCCGCGCGCCGCGCTGGCCCCCCCCCCCGACCGCGACCTGGCGCTGCAGCTGGAGTACCTGGAGGTGTCCATCACCGACGCGGTGCCGCAGGAGCTGGCGCTGGTGTCGCTGCAGCGCCTGGCGGTGAACCTGGCGGCGGGCAGCACGCCGGCCGGCACGTACCGGGCCGCCACCCTCGCCCTCGCCCGCATCCAGGTGGACGACCAGCTCCCCGGCAGCCGCTACCCCGTGGTGCTGGCGCCGGCCAAGGGGCAGGGCGGGGACCTGCCGGCGCTGCAGGCCGCGGTGACGCAGCACACGGGCGGCGCGCGCGGGCACGCATTCTTCCCCATCCTGGCGGTGCGCACGCCGCTGGTCATGCAGCTGGCGGTGGACGAGCCGCTGATCTGGCGCGCGCAGGAGCTGCTGGCGAGGCTGCAGGCCGCCGCGGCGGGCGACGGCGCGGGGGGTGGGAGCAAGGGGACGCCAGGTGCCACCCGGCAGCCGTCGGACGCCCCGCACCAGCCGGACACCGCGGCCGCAGACACCATGCTGCGCGTGCGCCTGCTGTCCATCTCCGACCTGGCCGCCCAGGTCAGCTTTGGCAGCAACCCTCTTGCGCGCCCGCGACAGGTTTCCGGGGGCGCCGTCTCCGTCATCCTGGACCTGGCCAGCTTCCAGGCCGCCGCAATCAGCCTGCACGGCTTCGAGCTGCGCGAAGAGGCCATGCTACACAGCGCCTTCCGCGCCCACGTGGCCCAGGTGGTCCAGGGCCAGGTCTTCGGCGTGGGCGTCTCCCTCGTCCGCAACTTTGGCGTCATCGGCGGCGCGGGCAAGGTCCTGGGCATGCTCTCCGCGGGCGTGGCCAAGCTGTCCCAGTCCAGGTGTGGATGGGGTGGAGTGGGGAGCAGGGGGGGAGGAGCAGCAGGGTCTGGCGGGCCCCTCTGCAGGTACACTCCTTGCAAGGGCTCACGCACCTCGTCAGAATGACGACTGCCCTGTCGCCGAGCCTGTGGCTGGCGACCACCAAACGTGCCTCGACTTGTATTGACCCTGCGTATGTCGCAGCGCTGGGAAACCCCTCCCATCTCGTGAGCTCCATCATTCCCCCCACCTCCCGCTGACAATCACCTCCTCCCACAGGAGCGACCTGGAGCAGGCCGCGGCCGCGCCCGTGCCCGAGACCAAGCCCATATCCAATTTTGGCGACGGATTTGCAGAGGGGGCGGGCGCCTTTGGGTCCAGCATCCTCCGCGGGCTGCGCGGCGTGGTGGAGAAGCCGCGGGAGGGCGCACGCCAGCGCGGCTTCCAGGGTGGGTTTGCGGTCGTGTGTAAGCGGGGGTGCGAGAAGATATGAGAGGAGGGGTGAAGGAGGCTTGCATCTGGAGCGGGTGGGTCGCACCAGGGCACCTGCAATCGAAGTCTAATTGTGCGACATTGTGAGGTAGCATGTTCATCCTTTCTCTCCTTCCTGGCAGGCGCACTGTCGGGTGTGGCCAAGGGTCTCGTGGGCGCCGTGGCCGACCCCATCTCGGGCGCGCTGGACGCCATGTCGGCCACCGCCCAGGGCATGGACGCCTTCATGTCAAAGTCCAAGGCCGAGCTGCTGGTGGGTGGTTGTGTGGTTGTGTTGAGTGAGTGGATATATGGAGGGGGGGGGGGTACAGGCTGTGTTGTGATTCGGTGCCCATGGCACGAGGCCCACCCTTTCCCATGCGCTGCAACCTCCTGTGCCTTCTCCATCTGCCTCTGCGCTCTTCAGCTCCCCATCCACACTCCCTCACACCCAACATACTCACAGGAGCTGGGACGGCGGCGCCTGCCCCGCGTGATGAGCGTGGACGGCGCGGTGACGCCCACGCTGCGGGACGGCAGCTTCCGCGAGGCGCGCATGGAGGAGCTGGGTCAGGCCCTGCTGCAGAACACGCTGCTGGCAGCCCGCGAGAGGCTGACGCGCACGGGCACAGTGGCAGAACGATATGAGCAGCACTTCCTGCTGCCAGACAACCGTGTGGTGGTGCTCACCGACCGCGGCATCCTGCTCCTCCACGCCCCCGGCTTTGACCGCCTGGGCGCCGCCGCAGACCTAGGTCAGGATTGTTTGTCCTTTCTGTGGTGGGGGAGGGGGGGGGGGGGGGGCCCGAAGGACAGGGGTGCAGACTGTATGCTCTGCATACACTGTCCAGCTCCTTTTGGGCGTGCACGGCGATGGATCTGTCTTTGCCAACTTGTAGACCTTGTGATTGTCGTGTGGAAGGCCCTGTTCATCCTCACTACACTCTTGCCCAATGCAGCATTCCCAGCGAAGCAGCCCAGCCGGGGCGCAAGAAGCAGCGATTGCTGAGCTTTGGTGCCGTGGCGAGGGACGACGATGACGGGTTCGCCTTTACCCGGAGACCTCTCGCCTGCGCGGATCAGGTGCGTATGGCTGATGGATGGTGGGAGGTGTGGCGCCGTTCTGACCCGTGAACAATGGACAGGACGCCCTAGAGTGTGTGCCCTGGCGCATGGGGTGAATACAAGAACAAATTGATGCATTTCAGGATTGGAGTATGTCCCTCACCTCCAATGTCGCCTGCCAGTGCTGTAGGAACCTGCAGCAACCCCCGTGAAAGCGGCATTTGTTGACGGGCCGACAGTGGCTGAGATCGCTGCCACTCAGGCAGCCATCGACGCCGCGGTCAATGAACAGCCCCAGGAGAAGAGAAGCGGCGGTGGAACCTTCAGCGAGGTGCAGGAGGTGTTCACCTGCATTGTCACCACAATGAACGCCTTTTGTGGCCGCCCCGCGCCTCCAAATGGTGAGCCTTCAAGGGATCCGCTGCGGACGACCCTGCAGGACATCGTCTTCACAATGAACATCCCCCGGATCCTCGGCGGGCTGATTGCCGAGCTACATGTCCTGCGAGTTGTGGAGAAGTTTGAGCGCCGCAAGGCAGCTCACCGGGCGGACGCGGACGCGGTGCTACATCCACTGAATAGTGGCTTCTTCTACAGGTGAGCTTCTGGTTTGTTTGATCTGGAGGGAAGGGGATGATGGGGGTTGCTTCCCTGTGTTCCCCTTGCAGAGATGGGGAGTTTGTTTCGCATGTTGTCGGGTCTGCAGAGTCTGCATGTCCAGGTGGTCGAAGGAAGAGGGTTTGCATGCCGACCTGTGAGATGTGCGGGTGTGAAAAGGACAGGGTAGTGAAGAGGGCGGGTTGTGAATGGCTCAAGGCATAAATAGGGCTAGCAGGGGTGCTGATGCTAGTCGTAGGCAAGCTTTGATCCATCACAAGCCTCTCCGCAACCTGCGTCGCCAGCATGATGTTCCCCCGCTACGAGTTCCATATCTCACTTCCCCACCCTCCAACAATACACCCAGGCTACATTGCGGTGAGTGATGTGCCTCCTGGCGAGGTGTCATGGCGGGTGAGCTGGGAGGACCTGCTGGCGCTGGAGCTGAGGCTGAGCCGGGAGAGCCCCGATGCGGAGCCCGATCGCTTGATCGTGCACCGTAAAGGAGTGGCAGGTAGGCAGCTGATGCTTGGATGGAGGTTTTGGGGTGTGGCCGCCTTGGGAATTGTGGGCAGACTCAATTCCAAAGAGGTTTGGGCCGCGAATCGGTAGGAACGCAGCTGTGTCGGGGCCGGAGTCATTTTCTGCCACGCTCCCTTCCCAGCGTCAATCCCACCCCGGCATGTCCCCCATCCATCACCACAGGGCGCCAGCAGGAGGAGTCGTTGGCGCACCAGATCAAGGGGTACCCCAACACGCCCCAGGCCTCCCAGATCAAGATGGTCGCCCAAGCCGTGAGTTGGAGGGCAGGGGAGGTGATGCGAACCTTGCGATGTTCTGTGGCTGTTCTCGGGACAAAGAGGGAACCATCTCCGTACATATCTCCACTCCTCTCTCCCTGTCCTGCGGACATCAGGTGGCCTTGCTCTCCAAAGGACACTCCACTGTCCACACCCACCAGCAACCCGCACTCAACCAACCCCCCGCCCCCCCCTCGGCCAGGTGTACAAGCGGCGGTACCTGGAACCGCTGCGCAGCAGCGCGCTGTGGTCTGCCCGGCATGCGGCGGCCCTGGGCGCCGCGCCGCCCACCGCCATCCCCGCCGACATGCCGCACGCCTCGGCGCTGCCGCTGTGCCTGCCCTGCCTGGAGTTCGCGCCCGCCTGGCACACCAACCCCGCGCGCGCGCCGTGCGTGTCCTTCTGGCGGCCGCTGGCCCCCGCGGGGTACCGCCCCGCCGCCGACGTGGTCTGCGCGGGGCTGGAGCCGCCCGCCGAGCCGGTGCCCTGCTTCCGCGACGACGCCGCGCTGCGCGACGCGCGCGGCCCCGACCCGGGCGCCGCGCCGGGGCCGCCCCCGACTGCGCACCCACGCGAGTTCTCCCTGCTCTGGCGCTCCAACGCGCGCCGCGCGGTGGCAGTCTGGCTCCCCGTGGCGCCGCGCGGCTACGTGGCGCTGGGCGCGGTGGTGGTGGGCGCGCCCGAGGCCCCCAGCCCCGAGGCCTACCTGTGCCTGCGAGAGGACCTGGCCGCGCCGGCGCGCTGCTCCGAGGCCCCCGTCTGGCGCTACGACCCCGTCGCCGCGGCGGCCGAGGCCGCGCGCGCCGGCGGATCTGCGCCGCCGCCGGCGCCGGCGCCGGGCGCCGCCGCCTCGCATCACCCGGAGACCTGGAGGGTGTCGGTGTGGCGCGTCGAGGGGGGTGCGCCGCACTTTCTCGCGGTCCGCGCCTTTGCGCGCCCGCCCGACGCCTGGCTCCGGGCCTATGCCGGCGAGGCGGGGGCCTCGCGCTGATCGGCGCAGAGTGTCCTCGCATGTCCTGGGTGCGTGGATCCATGCCTTCCAATCCTGCTTTCGACTCTGTTTGCCTGATCCTCTTCACACCACACCATGCCCTCCTGCTTGCTGTTGCCACACATCGACCCGCTTGTGCTTGCTGTATCGGCACCGCGATATGGTGAATGAAAAAAAGGTGGAGGAAAGGTGGACTCATTCATCCTGCCATGCCAAAATGTACATGCTCCTCTGGCGACCAGGCCTGCCCATCAGACCTTGGAGGCGGCCGCGAAGCGGTCGCCGGCCTCCTTCCAGTTGATGACCTTCCAGATCTCCTTGAGGTAGTCGGGGCGCACGTTCTTGTACTGGAGGTACTGCAGGGTGGAAGGTGGCGATGCGGAGGAAAGCATGAGGGGAATGATAGGAGAGCGCTGGGCACAGTCGGCTATGCCTGCATGTCATGACGGGGAGCGCTTTGCTGACACTCAAGCAAGTGTGCCACACGCGAGGCAGACACCCGCTGAAGCAAGGAATGTGCGCCAAGGGTGCCCAGCCACGCACGTAGGCATGCTCCCAGACGTCCACTCCCAGAAGGGGGATGAGCTTGGTGGTGGGCTGCAGGGGGTCCTGGTTGGCGGTGGTGGCGATCTGCAGACCCTTGGTCTCCGGGTTGTACGCCAGCCATCCCCAGCCGGAGCCCTGGTACAAGTTTGGTGTGTGGAAAGATGGGATTATGTGCGATGTTGCATGAGCGAGAGTATATACACGTCAGGCAACGCAGTGAACGTAAAATTGCCTGGGGGTGTGTTTGCACAGCCATGCAGTGGACTGTGCAGGGCAAGGATTCTCCAATGCCATGCCCATTGTGACACTGGATGTACGGCCCTGTTGCCATGGAGAGCATCTGAAACTCATACCATCCACATATCCCACCTGCACTCCGGCGGCCGCAGCGTTGAACTTGGCAGTGAAGGTGTCCAAGGATCCCCAGGTAGCCTTGATCTGCTCCTCAAGAGGTCCGCTGGGTGGCTGGAACTCCTGCATTGTGTGGGAGTTTGAGTCGCAACTCAGTCGTTAGGCTGGCGAACGATCCAGCATGAACCCTGCATGCCCGCCCCAAACCCTGCCTGGGGCAGGCCATGCCTTGGGAGGAATGAGGCTCTTCCAGAAGATCGCATGGTTGATGTGGCCTGGAGCATTTAAAGGTTGGAGGACTCGATAGATAACTGGTGGGCACACTGAGTCAGGCATCTACGAAGGCAGCCTTGGGTATGCGGGAACGCTAGGCAGTGCACGCTACGTACCTCCCCCGTTGAACTTCAGGGCAGACTGCAGTCCCACGATTGCGCTTGGGTCGGTCTTCGCCTCGGCATCCTTTAGCTGGGCCAGAGCATTGTTGAACCCGGTGACGTAAGCCTGATGATGCTTCGTGAGATGAATCTCCATGATCTCGGGGATGATTACGGGCGCAAGCGCATCATAGTCATATGGCAGTGCGGGCAGCTTCAGGTCCTGGCCGGTGGCCATGCCCCTCAGACCGACACCGCGGAAGAGGGTGCTGGGCCCAGATCGGACGGCTGACGCCGCGCAGGACAGCATGATGACGGAGTTGTCGATAGGAGAGAGATTAAAAGAGGGTGTGATGTTGTGCAGCAAGTCCTGGGTCAGATGTATTTATCGGGCGAGCTCCTGCAGCTGGAGTGCATGTGGTTGACTAACCTCCTCCGACATTGGCAGATGGCAAACAGACGCGAGAGCCCATTCACCACCTACATTGATTCCTACATCCTTACAAAGGGTCCGGGTGAATAAATAATCTGACATTCATGTCCCGGGTTCCTGCTGTGGGCAAACGCTGCAAATTACAGCTCTATACTGCTTGAAGCTGGTTGCCAGCCTGTCGAGAATTTGATGAAGGTTTACAACAAAAGTGGGGACTTGGAACTTGGTCTTCTCTATTCACAGTACCAATGCTGCATCCACATCAAAAATGTCATGCACTTCCCTCTGCATGATCACCGACTTAGGCAGTGGCAGTCGCATACCGCTGCTCCACCTCGGGCCAATTGATGATCTGCCAGATGGCATTGACGTAATCAGCACGCACATTGTAGTACTGGAGGTACTGCAAAGGCGGGGATGGAAGGGGACAGTGTCATGAGTTGACCCAAATTGTTGCCAAATGTGTACAGCCCCATACCTAGAAACAAAAGCAGGCGGCTGTCCCAAATCCAGACTAGCTGAAGCCTAACCACAACCAGAAGCCTTATGCAGACAACAACACTTCGCACAGAAGCCAAACTTACGTAGGCATGCTCCCAGACATCCACTCCAAAGAGGGGCACCAGGCCGGTCCTGGGCTGGAGCGCATCCTGGTTGGCGGTGGTGGTGATGGAAAGCACGCCGGTGGCGGGGTTGACGGCGAGCCAGCCCCAGCCAGATCCCTGCAGACAAGAAAGTGTGGCATGGGGTTATCAAACAGGGGAACTAGCAGTTGAGCTGGTGAGTCAGACTTCCGGGTGAGGCAGACAATACCTGGAAAATCTTGATCAGCCGCACCACAATCATGTCACGGACCTGGATGCCAATGGTGGCAGTGTTGAAAGCGGTCTTAAAGGCGTCAAAGGATCCCCAGGTCTCATCGATTGCCTCTCCAAGAGGTCCAGACAGCTCGGTGTAGTTCTGTGAGAATGGATGAGGGTGGTGATGAGACCATTGAGAAGGACATGTGCTAGTGGGTGGTGTGCATCTTAGTTGTGGAAACCACGAGTACCACAAGCTTCAGGCCATGCAATGGTCCACAACTCTCAACTTGCTACCAAATGATACAGATTGGTTGTGACTGTCAAAGAACGTCCTCCCCTTTCCGACTCACCGAGACGGGGGTGAGGGATGGCCAGAAGAGGTTGTGGTTGATCCAACCTGAGAGAGGGGGATGCGCGCAAAACCCTAAAGTCGCACGCACAAACTACAAACCTCGGACGAGCACACACCGGTGAGTGGCCCGACATCGCCGCCTTATGACGCACTCATCACCATGATATGCCAGCCCAACACCTTTCGCACCTCCTCCGTTGAAGTTAAGAGCGGAGGTGAGCGTGACGATGCTGGCGACGTTGTTCGAATCCTGGGCGGCGATCAGTCCGGCGACCGCGGTGTTGAAACCGGCGAGGAAGGCACGGTGGTGCTTGTCATGGTGCAGCTCCATGATCTCCGCGCTGATGACAGGCTCCAGGGCGCTGTACTCGTAGGGCAGCTCCGGCAGGGTGATGTTCTCGAACTCCAGGAGGCTCCGGCCATGGAAGGCAAGCAGGTCGCGGGAGGGCACGCGCGCATCGCATGGTGCGCTGAGGGACGAGAGTGCCAGGGCAAAGAGGGCGAGGGTGATCGTAAGAGACATCATGGAGGGTGGGTGAGGGGTGAGGGGTGAGGGGTGGCGGTCTTTGCGCGTGGAAGGGCTCGCGCAAAGCGATTGTGAAACCCGGGCAAAGACTTTGTATGAAAAGATGGGCACGGGGGGGCTGGGCCACACTTATATTGAATAAAATTGGGATCAGAGGTGCTGAGCTCCTTCGGCTTCGGCTTCTTGTACTCGCAGGGCTGGCCCCCTGTTGCACGTTCCGATCAGACGATATCAACCACGCGCATGTCGTACGCATGCCCTCCCAGGTGGTTCCGGCTGGTACGCCTCGCCATGGCGGCCGAGATGGACCCAGATAACTTGTTGCATGCGGTAAACCCCCAATTAAGCATCATCAATGAGACGATTCCAGGGCACAGATCCGCATGGGGACGCAGTTGCCCCCATGAGCGCAGCGGCGAAGGTACGGGCCCCAGCAAAAATCCGAGATTCGGCATCTCTCCACGTGCGTGGCCATTCCCCCACCTCACGTGTTTGCTAGTCCACCTCCAGACATGCCTTTTGAGCCACGCTTGCGTCAGTGAACTGACTCTCAAGTTTGCAGTACTTTTTGCCCCTCATGGGGCGGGTTCTCAAGGGGGAAAATGCCCCGCCGGTCCGACCCAGCCCCTCGAACCAGGCCCCTCCTCTCTCAGTCGCCCGCCAAGTAGGCGGCCGTGCTGCCGTCGCTGGCAGAGCTGATGGTGGAGGTGCGGTCCACGCCACCGCGCCGCGGCGTGCGCGATGATCCCCTCACCAGCTTCTGCAGCATGGACTGGAGCACGGTGGGCTTGGCGCCCCGCGCCTCCGGCGACCGCGCCTCCGCGGCGCGGCCCCTGGGCGGGGGCGAGGCCTGAGCGCCGTGCGGCATGCCGGACAGCAGCGTGTCCTTCCTGGCCGCACCCGGCGCTGGGGCGGGGGCGGTGTCGCGGTGGCGGAAGGCGGCGCTGCCGGTGGCCACCCACTCCGAGAAGCTGGCGCTGCCGGCCACGGAGCCCAGCGCGGCCTCGCCGCGGCGGCCGTGCAGGGGGCTGCACGGCAGGTCCAGGGGCGTGTCCAGCCGCGGCTCCCAGGCCTCATCGATCATGCCCGCCAGCTCCCGGATGGGGGACCCGGGGGTGCCCTCCGGCCCCGACCCGGAGCTGGCCTGGCCCTCGGGCCGCCCCTCGTCCAGCGACGACCGCGGACTGCAGCACTGCTTGCAATGGTTTGGATTGGAGGGGGGAGGGAGGGGAGGTGTCGGTATGCAGGGCATGGCGTGTGGACAGGGCCATGTCTGGACACAGGTGCCCAGCCTGGCGCCTTGACAGAGGTGCACGCCGTGCGGCATGACCGTGCGGCCCCACGCCCCCCGCCCCGTCGCCTCGCCTCAGAAACCTCCCCCTCCGAGCTCCTCCTCCTCACCCTGTCCCCACACTTCACCACGCCACTGTTTCGAAGCTCCTCCCCCCAAAACACCCCCCGCAGCTCACGGTGAGGATGTTGGGGGCCTGGTCCAGGACCACACGTCGGAAGTCCTGGTAGGTCAGCGTGGAGGGCTGCCGCGCCTTCCCGCCGCCCGCGCTGGCCAGCAGGCCCTGCACGTCGCCGTGCTGCATGCCCACGTCACGCAGCACCGATCCCAGCTGGTCCGGGGTGATGACGCCGCGCGCGTCCTTGTCAAAGTAGTCGAAGGCGGCGCGCATCTTGGTCTCCGTCACCAGCTGCTGCTCCTCCAGCGCCGCGGCCAGGAACTCGTCAAAGTCGACGTGGGTGCCGCGTCGCTTCAGGTCCAGCACCTCCAGCGCGGCGGCGAGGTCGGGGTCGGCCACGCGACCACCCAGCGCGGCGCGGAGCTGGCGCAGCGTGAGCACCCCCGAGCCGCAGGGGTCCAGGGAGGCGAAGAGGTCGCGCAGCGCGCCCACCTCCGCCGCGTCCAGCTGGCGCGCGATGACCAGCATGGCCAGCTTCTTGAAGGCCGAGGCGGCGGCGAAGCGGCGCACGTCGCGGAGGTAGGCCTCAATGGCCAGCGGCGCGGCGGCCTCCCCCGCCTCCCCGCCCAGCAGCAGGTTCTGGAAGGAGGCGGCGGAGACCATGCCGGAGCGGTCCAGCGCGCCCTCGCCGCGCATCATGCGCCGCAGCGCCTCGGGGTCCACCTCCACGCGGCACTCTTCTAATACGAATGCCAGCTCCTCCACCCCCACCAGGCCGTCGCCGTCGCGGTCCAGCGCCGCAAACACCGCGTTCACCGCCTTGGCCGACAGCACCTTGCGCTGGTCCAGCGCGGCGGCCAGGAACTCGTCCACCGCGATGCGGCCGTCGAACGCGCCGTCCAGCGAGTCCACCAGGCCCGCAACCTCCGCCGCGGCCAGGTCCACGCCCGCGGCGCGCAGCGCGGCCGTCAGGTCGCCCAGCCCGATCAGGCCGTCGCCGTCGGTGTCCAAAGTCTTGAAGACGTCACGCAGCGCGCCCAGCGCGGCGCCGCCCAGGTGCCGCGCCGCCACCGTCAGCAGCAGCTTGTGCAGGCGGGTCTGACGCGTGAAGGCGCTGATGCGGTCCAGCACCTCCGGCAGGAGCGGGGCGGAGGGCAGGGCGGGGGCGTCGGCGATCCAGGGGTGGGCTCGCGCGTCGGCCAGCGTCGCGCGCCGCGCCGGGTCGCGGCGGAGCAGGGAGGCCACAAAGTCCTTGGCCGTGGCACTGACCGCCTGCCAGGGCTCGTAGCCAAAGTCCAGGTCGTCGTGCAGGATGCGGTGGTAGATGACGGGGTCGGAGGAGCCCCAGAAGGGGGGGAAGCCGGAGAGCAGGACGTAGGCCATGACGCCGACGGACCACAGGTCTGCGGGCCAGGAGTAGGAGCCCTGTGAGGATGGTCGGGGCGGATGGAGGAGAGGGGGTGAGGAGGGTTGAGATGGTGTGTACTTTAAGGGGTGAAAGGGGGGAAGGGGGCTCTGACGTGCCGTGAGGAGCGGACAGCACTCGGGGTGGGGAGATCGGCCTTCAAGCGGCAGCTGCAGGACAGAAGGGCGTGCGCCAGAACGCACAAGGCTGCAGCTGTGCAGCGGGGCTGGGGCTGGCGGGTCGCAGCGCGGGTACCACTGCCGACCTTGGCAAGTGGCCACCCCACGCCCGCGATCGCAGACAGGCCTGGAGCAGAACGAGGACAGCGGCGCAGGGGCGCCCACAAGCGATCTGCACCCGCCCCTTCCTGACACCCACCCATGTGCGCACCTGCAGCACCTCCGGGGCCACGTAGTAGGAGCTGCCCACGCGCTCCGTGCACGGCGCGGTGGGGTGGTGGAAGGTGGACAGCCCAAAGTCCACGGCCCTCAGGTTCTCAGGATGCACACTGCTCTCCGAGCGCTTGAGCAGCCAGTTCTCGGGCTTCAGGTCTGGGGATGAGGGGTGTGGAGGGGAGGAGCATGAGGGGGGAGCATTGCTTGTACCCTCCAGAGCCAGGCCTGCGCAGCAGCGGTGGCCAGCGGCGGCGCAGCAGGGGTCTCACTCCCCGGCACCACGTCCAGGCAAGACCAGGGCATGAACTATACACACTCCGCGCCGCGCAAGTCCTTGTACCCTTGCTCTCTAGAGGGACCCCCCCCCACCACACACACACCTCTGCACAGGATGCCGCGCGCATGGCAGTGGCTGACCATGCTCAAGACCGCGGCGATGGTCTTGGCCGCGTCCTGCTCGCTGAAGGCCTTGTTCTGGACCACCAGGTCGAAGAGCTCGCCCCCCAGGCAGGCCTCCTGGACCAGGAAGATGTAGGACGCGTCCTCCCACACCTCGTACAGGGTGACCACGTTGTGGTGGTCCTGGACCGCCGCCAGCACGCGAACCTCCTCCAACGCCGTGTGCCGCTCAAACTCTGGGTGGTGCTTGTCCAGGGCCTTGATGGCCACCAGCTCCCCCGTGCCCAGGTGGCTGCACAGGTACACGGCCGCGAAGTGGCCCGTGCCCAGCACTCGCAGGAAGCGGTATCGCTGGTGGGGGTCCTGGGGGTGGGGTGGAAGGTGGTTGGCACCGGGTCCACGGCCTGGCGGAGCGGACGGGGGGAGATTCTCAGGCGTCGGATGGACGCCATTGCAATCCAAAAGCATGAACTCACCCCGTGTAGCCAGGCCTTGCCCCCCATGGGGACGGGGCTGGGGACGAGGGCAGCCTTGCCCATGGCACGCCCAGTACGGACGGCCGGCAGGCTGGCGAATGGCTCTGGGTCCTTCAGCGTGACCCGCTACAAGGGTGGAATCGCATGCGACAGCAATGGGAGTTATAGGACCAGGATGCGAGCGGAGGGGCGGCACATATCAGTGGAGGAGACCGACTGCTGTACAAAAAAGTGGAGAAGCACCAAGCTTCTAGTCGCACGGCAATGAATTACAAATTCTCGTGTGTGTCGTCACTTCAACAAGGCAGACTGCAGGATGTCGCCCGCGAGGGGCCGGGAAGGTAGCGTGCATGTCAAGTCAGCTCGGCGGTGGCGATGACTAAGGAAGGAGGTGCCGGGACAGCTCTTGGAATGATCCCAACCTGCCTTGTTGGAGAGGGTGCCAAACAACCACAAATGCACAGCAATCGTAAAAACATAAAACTTGTCATCCATTGAATAATTGCATGGCGCCTGCTCACAACGATAGTGGCTGCACATGAAAGTGAGAGGTCTGCAGGGTGGCATCCAAAACTTGTCATGCCCCTCACTGCGGGCTTCAACTTGTCTGCAGAGCACTGTAATGCTGAGTGTATATCTTGAAGATCTTGCGTGGCCGTGCCCCAGAGATCAAGGCTGTGTAGTGGTTATTGAGCATGCACTCCAAGTCCTTCCTGTTGTCTGCCCAACGGGTGGGGGCGCGAGATCTGGGCAGGGGGATCCTCACCTTGTGCTGGGTAGCGTTCTGTGGCTCGCTTCACAATACTGGCCATATACACTGATGTATCGCAGATTCTGAATGTCGACGGCAAGACTCACCTGCGCGAGCTCGGCGCAGAGGCCCTTCCGTGGACCGCCAGCTCCGTGCCAGGGCGGCATGCAGCGGCATGCTTGGCCTATGCAGCGGCCCATGGGCGCCTGGTATCGAGATGGAACACCTCGAGGTTTGTGCTGGGAATGGGAGGTGGTCGGCATGGCAGGCGTGCCGTCGGTTCCGACTCATGCGCGCCTGGCCCTGACACTACAGCATTACAGGGACTTCCCTTCACGCAGGCTGCGGACGAAAGCTGATGATGGCAGCTGCCTACTCCAGCGCACAGGTAGGAGGTCGAGATGTTGACTGGCCTTACCCATATGTGGCCTCAGCTCGCTCGTGGGAATGAAGGTGCCACAATCGCACCGATCTCTTTCACCCACTGAACCGCAGACGGAGGCGCTGAAGGCCAGCATCGCGGCCGCCTGCTCCCGTGCCCAGGAGGAGGCGCTTGCCTCTGCGCAGCGCGCATCTCACGCCAGCCAGGGCATCGACGACCGGCCCCAGTTGCGCCCGCAGCTCCTGACCGCCATCGAGGCGCTGCAGCGGGGCCTGGTGGAGAGGGACACGGAGGTGCGGCTGCTGCTGCTAGCCGCGCTGGCCCAGGAGCACATCCTGTTCATAGGCCCGCCGGGCACGGCCAAGTCGGAGCTTGGGCGCAGGCTGGCACAGCTGTACCGCGGTGCTTTCTTCGAGCGCCTGCTCACCAGGTTCTCGGGTGAGTTAGCTTTTAGCAATCGGTAGTATGCCTGAGTGATTGAATAACCACTGCCTTCGCAACGAGAGGGCTCCTGTGGGTTGGGCCATCAAGGGTTTGGCAACTGCACCCTGGTGCCTAGGTGCATGCCAGGGTGGCATGGCTGGGCGGAGGAGGCTGTGACACCTCCAGCATTTCCTGCATCCGGGCATCGGCTCTGCATGACATACCCACCCTGTCTGAGTCCACGACCTTCTCAGGACATCCTCCCGCTACCATATCCACCTCCAGTGCCGGAGGAGCTGTTTGGGCCACTCTCCATGAAGGCGCTGGAGCATGACGAGTACAAGCGCAAGACCACGGGGTGGGTGGGGTGGTGCAGCTTGCGATGCTGCGCACCTCCACTTTGAGGTGGATGCCAGATGCCATGTCCCAGCCAATCGCTCATGCCATTCAGCCCATGCACACCTGCGCACCAGGTACCTGCCAAGCGCCAGCGTGGCGTTTGTGGACGAGATCTTCAAGGCAAACTCCGCCATCCTGAACTCGCTGCTCACCATCATCAACGAGCGCCTGTTTGACAACGGCAGCGTGCGGGAGAAGGTCCCCCTACGATGCCTGGTGGGTTAACGAGTCTGAAAGGGGGGGACGTGCTCCTGATTGTGTGCCATGCTGCACCGGCAGCATGCTGGGTTTCTTTCTAGAATCACATACTCATCAGATATACTTGCCCATATGTTTGCTGTGCCTGTCCGAGACCCGGTCCATCCTCCAGCTACTATTTCCTCACAACCACCAACTTTATCACCAACGTGCAGGTCGGCGCCTCCAACGAGCTGCCGGAGAGCGAGGAACTGGATGCGCTGTACGACCGCTTCCTGCTGCGGCGGCAGGTCGCCCAGGTCTCCCCCGCCGGCCTCATGGAGCTGCTTTCCTCCCCGCGTTCCCAGGTGGGGTTCAGTGTGAGATCGGGTTGTCCAGGGGCACTGGGCTTCCCTCGGCAGTCTCTGCGCTGGCCAGAGGCGGCGACCCCAGGAACAACACATGATCTAGCTCTACTCCTCCACCCCCCTCCGCCTCCGCCACTCCACAGGTCCCGCAGGCAACGGCGCTGGCCAGCCCCGGCTCCCAGACGCACACAGCCGCCCCGCTCCTGGTGGATGACTCCTGGGCGGGACTGCGTGGCGAGGCCATGGCCCTGGTGGAGGTGCCCAGCCGCGTGCTCCAGCTCCTCGCCGACCTTCGCAAGCACATGCAGGTGCTTTTGCTGGGGGGGCGTTCAGGGTGTGGAGGGGTGATGAGAGAGGTGACGGAGGAGGGGTGATGCCATGAACTGGACCCACCCGGCCGGCTTTGAATCTCTCCCGGGCCCTGGCCCCTGAGTGCCGCCTGATGCCTGCCATGCCCCAGCATGGCAGGCTCGCAGAGCAGCCCGCCAGCGCCCCACCCATCTCGTCCCCATCTGACCACCCGTCGCCCACCGCCACCTATCCACCCCCAACCAAAAAATCAGGAGGAGCGGGAGCCGCCCACCTACATCTCCGACCGCCGGCTGGTCAAGGCGGTGGTGCTGCTGCAGGTGGCGGCCTGGACCTGTGGCCGGCGCCGCGTACTGGAGTTTGACGCCCTGCTCCTGCGCAACGTGCTCTGCTACCGCCCCGAGGACGAGGGCCACGTCACCAACTGGCTGCTGCAGCACATCGCCGCGGAGGACGGGCTGCGCCAGCCCCGCTTCCTCCTCAAATGTGAGGCGTGGGAGTGGGCGGGTGATGGGAGGGGTTGAACGGGGGGTGGGGACACCTATGAGCCTTGAACCGAAAGCATAGGGCTGCCCCTGGGCCTGCCGACGTCGCCAGAAAGGGGAAGGGACACCTTAGACCACCAAGAACCCATTCCCCTGCCGCCGCAGCCCTGTTTGGGCGCGCCTGCGCCGTGGCGGTTTCCGCCAAGCCCGACGCGGACCTGGCGCAGGAGGTCGAGGCGCTGCGATCCGTCCTCCTGCGGAAGCTGGCGGGTAGGTGGTATTGGGCGGGGGGGGAGGGTTGGGAGGTGGGTGAAGAGTTGGGAGGTGGGTGAAGAGTTGGGAGGTAGGTGAGGAGTTGGGAGGTGGGTGAAGACTCGGGAGGTGGGTGAAGGGGAGCCTGGGCGCCCTAGGGAGCCTGAGGAATCTCCTGGCTTTGAATCCCATAGCCTGAAGGCATGGTCCCTCCCGCCTGCTGCCAGTGAACCCCAAGCGTAATTTGCGCAACATTTCCCGCGACTGTACTGAGGTTCGCATCTTTCCCTCCCCCACAATGTTCTCCCTCTCCTGCCCACGAGCAGGTGTGCTGACGCTGATGCAGGACGACGTCACCGGCATCTCCACCCACCTGTGGTTTGGCCATGCCGATGCCCGGCGCTTTGTCACGGCCCTGAAGCCGCGGCTGAAGGCCGCCGCCACCGACACCCAGCGCCTGCTGGCGGAGGTCATCGGGCTGCAGGTAGGGGGCGCTTTAGGAGTGCCGGGGCTGGCAGTGTGCTTCGTTTGGGGGCAGTGACTTCCTGTGTGCCTTTCATTATGCATAGCACGGCTTGCAGTGCTGAGTGTGCAGGCTGCTGACCGAAGGTGCACACCAGGCCACGACCCTGTGCCTTTCAGCATTTAGATATCAGCATGTACTCCCATCCATGAACCACCCCCAGCACGCCATTGAGGCTGGGCTGGATTCCGCACACCTGGCCGACCTCCTGCCCGGCGTGTGGGCCGACTTCATCCGCAATGCCGACATGTCGGACGTGAGGCCGCTTGGGACGCGCAGCATAGAGGTGGTGCGGTCCAAGTACAGCATGCAGCCCTGAGGGCCTGTGTTATCAGGGGCAGTCCCTGGTTGCAGTAGCACTGGAGCCAGGCTGCCATGAGAGCGAAGGACCTCCTGGGATTTGCTGTGACGCTTTGCTCTTCCCTGGGCAGCTGGATTTCAGTCAGAATTGGCCTGAGCGTCCTGCTGCCGGCTGGCGCCTGATTTTCTTGTATCGTTGAACAGCACTTGTACATTACTGCTCTAACCACTGATGCAACGCAAGACTGGAGAATCAGGACAGCCCTTGTAAGCAACACAATACAGATAAAGGAGGGGGGTACGCCCGCTCAATCTGTGTTCCAGGGAGCAGCATAAATGGCACAGGATGCAAGTGGCCAGGCAGGAACTTGCCAGGATTGCAGGGAGACGGCAGGTGCACTTGCATTTCACCCATTTGCAGGAGAGTGGGAAGGTGAAGCACGCCTTGCAGTGCCATGGCACGGTCTATCCTTCTCCTGCAGGCAATGTTTGAGCCTGCATTGGAGATGTTATGATGTTAACGTAGCACACTCTGCTATCTACAGAAGAATGGCAGGCCTGTAACACAATCTGTATTTCAACATTTCCATAGCACACAGATTCAAAAGAAGCCACTCACTCTTCTACCACCATGCTAAGGAGAAAGAACTGCTGCAACATGAGGTGCTAACCTGGAATGTGTGAATTCGCCGTCTCTTGCTCCTTGATCTTTGCTCCAGTTGGGTATTCTCAATCACAATGCCCTCTGGCACTTTGTCCCCATGATACTCCTGTCATAGTGCAGTGTAACAGAAGAAGCTGTGAGTCTGCGTGGCCAGGAGATTAGAGTCAGCAAGATTTGTTCATAGATTGCTTCCAGACAGCCAAGATGAGCAAGCACCTCATTGCCAATATAGATGTTCTCTCACCACTGAGAGTATGCCTTTGTGCAACGACTCCACACAACAACGGATTGACATACTTATGGCTAGCAAATGCGGAGGAACACATTGCCAAAACCACTCGTTACAGATACAGTCCTCCTCCTCATCCTGACTCACCAGCATCAAGCTGCCGCCCTGCTCTGCCTGCAGCACTGTCCTGCTGCGATACCTTGCGGTAGACGTCCTGGGACCATCACCTGGGAACAAGGAGGAAACAAGGAGAATGACACCCACCAATGGTCAATGGCATGCATGCATGGACCAGATCCCAGCCTGAGCTTTGAGTATCAGCATCAGGGGTGATGCGCCACATTCAGTGCAATACACATCGTGCCTGACCCCCACGAGCTTGCTCACGGTTGAGAAGCCACCACCATGCCACAGTGCCTGCCAGCATTGATAGCAGTATGTTGCGGCGTGGGATGTTGGAGAGGTCATTCACAGGAGGGCCTTCTTCATCGGGAAGTGGAGGGGGCGGCGAGGATGTCTTCAAGGGTGGGGAGCTGGGGGCAGAGCTCTTGTCCTGCCGGTCCGACGATGATGCCATCATGATCCTGTGCACGGTGAGCCGATCCATGATGTCCATGGTAAGGTTCTGTCCCCAAATCTAGCAGTCATGCAAGTTTCAAGAGGGTACCTTGAGCGACATCTCCGACATTGCGTCGAACATCGGGCGTGCCATGTTCCTGGGGAAAGGGGTCCCCCCGAGACGGCCAAAGTACTGTTCATGGTGGCTTGAGCAGAGGCCCTGAGTATGAGCTCGAAGCGTATGGGACGCGAGGGAAGATAATGGTACGTCCTTACACCGAATGACAATAAGTTTTATCAATTTTCACCCTGCATGTATCGGCTCTTGAAGTTTCTTGGTGCATGGCTCCGACATCTCGCTGGGCGCGAATTCTGCATGGTCCTCGCGCCCTCCACTGCTCTCTGTGCGCAGTGCACGCTTCATGCGAAGATTTCTGTTGGGAAAGCCTACTGCATACAATTTGTAATTTTGAATCGAATCCCATTGAAGATATGTTGTAATCTGCCTCGGTGGTCGCCTCAGGGGCTCTCCTCGTCGGAGAGTGTTCTCGCCTCGCCTCCATATCAAAACCGCTCGCTATGGACAAGGAAGCCGCGACAGAGCTCCTCCTGGACGGCGCACGCTATGGGGACGAAGATGACGTCGCACACGCTCTGGATGAGGGTGCAGATGTTGACGGTCCTGGTCCCACAGGCAGCACAGGTGACTGAGTGATTTTGTCTCTCCATCACAGGATCATGTATTATATACCATGGTAACACTCACTGAGGCCCCTCCACAAACACAGCCCTCCACATGGCGGCTGCAAATGGGCATACCAACATCATCAAGCTCCTTGTTAAAGATGGCGCGGTAAGAGGGACATGAAGCAAGGACATGCCATGAGCATGCAGCACAATGCTATGCGCGTCGGTGCACTGCCTCAGGCATGATCCCTCACAGCATCGTCCCGTCACAGAATGTGGCGGCAGCAAACAGTGAAGGGAACACTGCCCTGCACTGGGCGGCGATGAATCATCAGGTGGATGCGGTTCGGCTCCTCCTCGAGGCCGGCGCGTCGCCCAGCGCCATCAACGGGTACGAGGATGTGTGAAGGATACGGTGCCGTGGCAGTGTACTGCGTACTCCGATCTTGGCTCCTGGTGCCCACCTCTCCACCAACTCCCTTTTCATACAGGCGCGACGAAACCCCCGTGGACGAGGCACTGCGAAGAGACTACAGCGACATCATGGAGCTGATAAACTCCTTCTCTGCGCCAGGGACCGATGTCACAGACACCAAGGGGGTGGATGAGTTTGACGAGGAAGAGGAAGCCAACGAGCCGTCGGCCCCTGCCGCCCAGGAATAATCAAGGAGCCAGGCCAGCTGGCGACTCGACGCAAGTACGTAATCCCTTTGTACATGATCCTCGTTACAGCTTGCTTCTTCTGTTGTCAACATAACCGTACAAAAGTAAAAGCCAAGGACTCTGTCTACTCAGGTGGGGTGTTGTGAAAGAATAAGCTTTGTCTTGGGAAGCCGAAACAATCACTCAAGCCTGCACGCAACTCAAGTGCCCAGACGCTCAAGGCATAAGGAGGTCGAGCGAATACATGCATCAATCACCCCTGTGCTGCTCATCAGCGCGTTCGCTGGTTCGCTGCATTCCTCCTTTAAATCACTTCCTGTGCCTCCTTGTTGTTCACGTTGCTGGTGCCGAGCTTCGTTACCTGGTCTTTGGCCTCCTCCAGACCCTTGGGACCCTGGACACGAGTAAGGAAAGGGAGGCCACGTGGCACATGCTGGTCACAAGCACCCTGAGCGGCTGCTCTGTGGGTATGCAGCGACGATTGACAGCAACCCCCTGGGGCCCTGGACTGTGAGACCTGCCCGATCTTCCCCCCATCGACAGCACCACTTTGGTGTTGTTCCCCATCCCCCCCCCTCCGCCTCCCCGCTCACATCCATCTTGGGCTTGATGGTGTTCTCGGCACAGGCCTTCATCGTCGCGACGTGCTCCAACTCATCATCCCGAATGTTGACAAACACATCATACAGGTTGCTACAGAAGAGGGGGAGTGGAAAGCGTGTTACGGGTTGTTGGAACCTCATCTTAATCATAGATCCGATGGGCCCAACATGACCAAATCCCCCCTGACCGTGCGTCGTGACATTTGCAGGACGGCAGCACAACTAATACCCTGGTGACAAGGACCAACAACCCTGTTGCTCACTTGCACTCTGGGCGTCGAATGGATCCCGACTCCCACTCCGTGTGCAGGGCGTCAAAGAGGTACAGGTCACCTGGGAATGGGGCATGGCAATGAGGGAGAATGAAGCTTATGAGTCAAGCTGGGTGCCCCTCCCTTAGGAATTGAGATCAAAAGGGGAAGGAAGGCAGAGCGGGCGCCAGGACCCAGCGGCTTTTGCGCCACAGCCCTGGCTCTCACCCGACTTGTAGTACGTGACTGCCACGAGGGGTGGAGGAATGCCCTGCAGGACCTCCTTGTTCTCCTCTAGGAACTCGGAGTAAGTGTCCACCGCATGATTCTGGAATGTGTGCAAGGGAAAGGAACTCCAGTGGCCAGTTCAGAGAATGAGGGCCCCTTGCATGGATACCTTTCTTGCAGACAGGGCCCGACCACTTCATGCTCAATCTGTTCTCATCCAAAGGGAACAGACAGCCTATCCCTCAGCACACAACACACCTCCACGAGCTCCGAGAACACGTATGCAGCCGAGGGAGATGCAAAGAACATGAGGATAATGACCCAGTAATAGAAAACAGCGGCGTGCTCGGCGAAGAAACTGCAGAGGTGGTCGGGGGATGGGGGATGCATTCAGGGTCACATCGCTCCAGGCAAAATTCTAGCATCATGTTTGCTACACGCTGCATGGGCATTGAATGCCCGAGGTCCCACCCTTTCTGATGTCACCCATACACACCGATCGATCCACAGGTGGTCGCCACCCAGGGTTTCCATGATTTGCAGGTGGTGCAGCTCGTTCCACTCCTCTGCAAAGTGGATCTACCAGTGGGGAGGGCACATTGGGACTGCTGACGTGCAGTGTGCTATGACGTGCAGTCGGCATCAGTGCAACATCTCAGCCAGAGCGCTGGGGGTCTTGCAATGCATCAGACCTCATACTGCTGCACCAATCCACACCTTCCAAACCCTGCCACAACCTCCAAACACCATCAACCGAGCCTCACCCTGCGCAGCTCCGCCCCCGCCCTCCACCACCCCAGGGACTCGTAGAGGTGGAGCATGGAGATGTAGGCAAAGTATGGCATGCGCGCCACCGTTTCCAGCACCCAGAAGCGCTGGAAGCAGGGGAGTGGGGTCTGGCTGCTCGAGTGTGTGTGGATGCAGATGGGGGTGGACCTCTGCGGACATGCAAGACGCTCTAGCCCTCAGTCCCACTTAGGCCAGGCGTGAGCCCAGCCCTCCAGCCCCTCCTTGCCCCAAACGAAGGACCCTCCCTCTGATCCCCTCCTTCCCACCATCCCCAACACACACCTGGATGGGGCGGTTGGCGTACAGGATGTCCAGCACCCAGCACAGGAAAACGTAGGAGCCCTTGATGAGCCAGGGCGCCTTCACGCCTCGCCCCTCCTTCTCCCGCTTGTGCTCCCGGGCGATGACCCGGCGATCATCCAGGCGCAGCGCCTGCAGCTTCTCCAGCACCTTGCGCTCCTTCGGGGTCAGTGAGGCGCGGGCGGTGTCCTGCTCCACCTTGCCCAGCACGCCCCGCCCCTCCAGCCAGCTGTCGGCCTTGGTGAGCGTGCTCTGGAGGGCAGAGCCCACCACCAGGGCGGCCTGGGGGAGGAACAGGGAGGATTGATGAGCTTGTGGAGCTTGGAGTGTTGATCGGCCAGTCTGTACGATGTGCATGGAGCCCAATTGTCTCTGCAGTTTGAGACTATGCCACCTCCCAAACACCCGATACCTCCAGTCGGCCGCCTGCGCACCTTGCTGAGGGGGTTGGGGTCCATCGTGCTCGACAGCTCCTTGTACTCATTGAAACGCACGGACTTGCGCAGCTCCATGAACTCCTTCTTGAAGTTGCCCAGCGCCAGCGCGGTGGCCGACGAGGGCACGGAGCCGTATCCATCCTGGTACAGCCTCCCAGAACCCGACCTGAAGCCGTAGTCGGCCGCCATCACCTGCATCGAACAGGAAGACGGGAAGTGTGGAGGCGCGGCAGACACGGAGGTGTGCAAGGCGCAGCAGAACCCTCCCTTTGCTGGAGCAGGAGGCGAGCTCGGTGGCTGGATGCAGTGGGAGGCACACCATAGGCCTGATGCATTTTAACCCTCCTCCACACGCCCTCACACAGAACCAATGCAGGTCACGCTCCAACACTGACAGGGATGCGATTGCCGTCGTCATCGATGAAGGCAATCTCCTGCTTCTCCTTCTCAGTGGACCCTTCGTTCTTCAGCTCCAGGGTCTGCTCATCCGTTGTCTGCTGGACCAGTCCGGTACTGCTCTCCAGCTCAGCGTGCTCCCTGGTGGCCTGCACCCCGAGGAGGGGCTTGCGCGGCGCGGTGTCGCCGGCGACGAAGGGACGTGGCGAAGTCCTCACTCTAGGCCTATGAAATATGGAATGCAAAGGGGGATGAGGGCGCGTGCAAGAGTAATTGCGCTGCTGTATGGGCCTCTTCGAGGAAGCGTGGGGGATGGCCAACGTACCTGGAGCGGTGGCATGGGACTTGCACCCGGCCAGCGGAAGCCCTGTATTGTGAAAGCGTGATCATGATGAATTATTCTACGATATCACGCATAGGGAAGCGGGTGCTTGAGTAATTAAGGAAGTTCCTTACGACACCTTCTCTTACGATTGGGCACGATTCTCAAACTTCCGGAATGGCCCCTCTCCAGTCCGGAGCGCTCTCTCACCACAGAACACCCAAAACTCTCGTATCTGCGAAACGCCCTCATTCAGGGTGTGCAAGACCTCTTCAGGGCTGCCTGGACCGATGATGGGGTATATGACACTGCTTTGGCTGCTCCCTACAGCGTTCTGCAACCCCTGCGCTGAGTACCAAGGCCACCAATGGGGGAGGGGCTGGCCATGCGCGCCTGCGCGCGCTTCCAAGCAACTATTTTGCCTTCTCGTCCTCGTCCATGTCCGCCGCGATCTCCTTGATGAGCTCCTCTTTGTACTCCTCAAAGTCGCCGTCGTACCGCTCGACGGTGCCATCCTCCACAATCCAGACCTGTGATAGGAGTGGGGGGGTGGAGGGATGCAGGAAAGTGGACGGAGATGACGCAGTCGCAGGCCTCAAATGCGCCTGGCCCACCCACCACAGCGCGATCCCTGCCGCCCCTCTCCCCACCCACCTCAGCGCGTTCTGTGTCGTCGCAGATGCTCTGCAGCAGCCGAGCGTCATGACTAATGATTACAACACCGCCCTGGAACGCCTCCAGCGCCTCTGCCAGCGCATCGATGGACTGCGGGCAATGTGGGATCGGCATGGCATTGTGAGCGCGCATCGACCGTCAGCAGCACGTATTGTATCACGGCCAGCCTCAAGCCTCCCTAAAAACATCCCCCGAGCCATGCGCTCGGCGACCCTTGAACCTACACACACACACATAACCCCCATCCCCCTTCCTCCCCCCCCCACTTCCACGTGCCTGCATGTCAAGATGGTTGGTGGGCTCGTCCAGCAGGAGGATGTGTGGCGCCGATAGCGAGATGGCTGCAAAGACGACGCGAGCCTTCTGCCCGCCCGACAGCTTGCAGATGGGCTGGAGGTGGTGATGGCCCGACAGGCCGAATCGCCCCAGCCGTGCCCGCATGTCCTCCCTCCGCAGGCCTGAAAGGTTGGGATATGAGAGGAAAGAGAGGGGGAGGAATGAGACTGGGGTGCGTGCCAAACCAGGCTCAGCGGCCAGGTGTAGGATAGAGCAGAGGGGCCTGTGCCTGCAGCCCATGATCTCCCACAAGCTCTGCCATCCCCAGTCTCCATTCGAGATATCACAGCCATCACCCAAGGGTTCCAGGCCACCAGTTCGCACCAGCCTCGGGGAAGCGGTTGAGGAGGTACTCCACGGGTGTCTCATCGAAGGAAAGCGCGTCCACAAAGTGCTGCGCATACCGCCCGACCCGCAGCTTGAAATTTCGCCGCTGGTCTCCGTGCGTCGGTTGGAGGTCGCCTGGAGGTTTTGTGAACGAACGGGATTTGAGATTGCGGGTTTGAGATGAGCCAAGGAAACTCGCTGTGCAGGCAGGTTCCACTTGTTTGGTCGCTGTTCCCTTCCCCCGAGCAATTCTCCCCTGCCCACCTGCCACGAGGTTCATCAGGGTGGTCTTTCCCGCCCCGTTGGGGCCCACAATGGCGATGCGGGAACCCATGTCGATGCCCACATTAAGGTCCCGCATGCCGAAATCCTCGCGACCAGGGTATTTGAAGCTTTGAAAAGGGAGAGTGAGGTAGTGAGGGGGCTGAACTTGGCAGAGATCGAGATCTGGCATTTACACATCCCCCTAAACAAAAGCAAGCCTGCCTGATCAGACGCTTCAGCAGCAAGGAGGTCCACCCTCACCAATCAGGCTACCCCACAGCACCGGTAACCACTCCCACCTGGCATCAATGAGCTGCAGCAGCGGCGGGGTCAGCTCTGTGGGCTCCGGGAACTCAAAGTGCACAGTGTAGTCGTTCCACTGCCGCGGCGCGTCGGCCGCCTTGGAGCTGTCGTCCTCGTACTTACCGCGCTGCGTGCGCTGGGCCTTGCTCTTGGCCTCCTTGGCCACCTTGTCCGCGTTGGCCTTGGAACCTGTACGTTGTGTTGTTGGGGGAATGGAAGGAGGGTTTAAAGAGAGTCTGACAACTCTGAGCCAGTACCAGCAACAGGGCTGGCATGCTCAAGGTATAAGTAGCCTCTCACATTGCAGGAACACCTCAACCAACAACCTCCAAACCCTACCAGAGCGCTTGGCGGCCTTCATCTGCTTCTGGTACTTGTCAAACTCCTTGTTCACCTCCCGCCGCCGCTGCTCGTACATCTCCTCGAACTGCGCAAAGTTCCCGCGATAGTAGTGCAGGCGCTCGTCGTGCAGGTGGATGATGTCGGTGGTCACCGTGTTGAGGAAGTCGCGGTCGTGCGATACCACGATAAGCGTCTTCTTCCATCTGTTTGTGATGCCAAACGGGATGGGTGGGGAAGGGGGTCGAGTTCGCAAAGCATGGCAACCAGCCACAGAACCAATCGCTCCCATTGCCAAGGGAAGATCTCAGCACCCGCAGCCCCCCGCTCTGCCGCGCCACTCCACCAAACCCACAGCACAGCGCGTGCCTGGTCAGGTAGGCCTCCAGCCAGAGCACGGCGCGTAGGTCCAGGTGGTTGGTGGGCTCGTCCAGCAGGAGCACGGTGGGCTGGATGTAGAGGGCGCGGGCCAGGGAGATGCGCATGCGCCAGCCGCCGGAGAAGAGGTTGGTGGCACGGCGCTGCATCACTTCGGTGAACCCCAGCCCGTGCAGAATCTTGCTGGCGCGCGCCTCGGCCGACGCGGCCCCGATCTCGGCCATGCGCTCGTAGATCTCGTTCAGGCGGTCGGCCGCTGTGCCGTCCTCAGCCTCGTTGGCCGCCGGCCCGGCGCCCTCTTCAAGGCCCATGTCGGACAGCTTGCTGGGTGGGGCGGGAGGAGTGTGACGGTTGCGGTGAGGGGTTGTTTACAAGAAGGGGCTGGCCAGCGCCTGTGACGCGAGTGCACACCGTGGCGGCCAGCCTCCAGGGGCACAGCGGCGGTGCAATGCGATGGCAGCTGGCTGACCAGAGGCCTTGCATCAAGACCAAACGCACACTCCCACGCAACTGCCATTTCCCCCTTCCACCTGTTGATCTCGGCCTCCTCGGCCCGCAGCGCCATGAGCTCCACGTCCGCCGCCACCACCGAGGCCAGCGCGCTCTGGTCCGTGCCCACCACCTGGCGGAGGAGGAAAGCATGAAAGCGTGGAACATGGAAACCAAGGATACGTTCAGAGCTGTAGAAGGGCGCAGCAGCAGGGGCATTGCAGGCCTGATCTGAGAACCTGGATCGTCAGGCTTACTTCCTCGCACAACCAGCCATACCCTAAATTGCCTGACAGACACCTCGCACCCTTCTTCCCCCCAAAAGAATCACCCTTTTCACTTCTCAATACTACCCCAGCACCCCACCTCCTGCTCCACCAGGAGGACATCCAGGTTGTCTGGCACGGGGACTTGCCGCCGCGCAATGAGGCGCAGCAGCGTGGACTTGCCCTTGCCGTTCGGCCCCACTAGGCCGTACCGCCGCCCCGCCGCCACCGTCAGCGTAGTACTCTCCAACAGGACCTTGCCCTTGGCGCGGATTGTCATGTTGTGCACCTTGATGTCGGTGGCGGACAGCACGCCCTCGCCCCCCTCGCCCTGCTGCTCGAAAGCCACATCGAACACATTGTCGTCGTCCCGCAGCGCGGCGACCTTGGCGGCGGCCGCCTTCTCCAGCTGCTTGCGCTCCTTGTCGTTCAGCTTGCGCTGCTCCTTGGCAGACGGCTGTGGGGGATATTCAATGGAGGGGAGGAGAGAATGGCTTCAGGGGATGATGGGCAGATGATCACCGGGGTCAGGCAGCGCCATGCCATCATTCGGTGAAAGCACCATGCACGCCACCCACACTGGAGCTTCAATGCCAGCTGCAGAGAAGTCATCCAACCACTCCTTCTTCTCCCACTCCCCTCTGCTGCATTCCATGCAACCAAAAATGGTAGCATCAAGTCCTGCAGGGATGCACTGATGACACCCCAGTGACACCGCACCCTCACCCGCACGGCCTCTTCGAGGCGATCCTCCGCGTCGTTCTCGTCCACGCCCCTCCTGCGGGGCCCCTCCTCGTCGGACTCCGACTCGCTTGACGGCAAGTCCATGTCGGCCAGGTAGGAGTTGACCACCTTCTTGGGCTCGGGTATCTGGCGGGGCGGCGGCCGGCGGGAGACGGGCTTGGCAGGGGCTGGGGCAGCTGTGGACTTGCTCTCGGCCTTCTTCTTGTCCTTGCTGGGCTTCCCATCCTTGCCAACCTCGCCTGGTGGACAAAGGAGGGTGACGCAAAGCTCACAAAGAAGCCTCCGAGGGACAGGGTTACGACTGCAGACCAATTGCCAGACAACAGTGGTATCCCAATAGGAAACCCTCCCCCCCCAGATCATCCTTCACCTTTGTCCTTGCTGCTGCTGATCTTCTCCTTGGAGGAGCTCTTCACCTTGGAGGAGGTTTTCTCTTCGGTCGAGACCTTTTCCTTCTTCTCCTTCTTCTCCTACACGCGGCATGGAGTGTGCTGGGCATTGAGCGACACATGCTCGGCCCACCTCGACTCTGAACTGGCATCACCACCGACGGCCTACCTTCTTATCTGATGAAGCTTTCTCAGCCTTGACCTTCTTCTCTACAACAGGAGCCATCCTGCCTCGCTAGAGAAAGCTGGGGAGGGCAGGAAACTAGTCGCTTGCTCTGAAGGTGGGCAGCCGGCGCGCCAGTGATCCACCTGCAGGACCCGCAATCAATGTGCATTCAGTCTAACAGAATATCGGACCCAATGCACGCTTTCACAATTTGCAGAGTATCATGGCAGTTTACCTGAGGAGGGAGCAATGTACATCGTCGCGCCCTGGCTGGCTTCCCGCCCGGGAGGCATCGCTCACCCATGTCGATGAGGTCGACCCTTGCCAGTTTAACAGATTGATGGGAGGGGCATTGCCAGTGGCAACAGTCTCAACATTCCCGCACACGTGCTGAGCACAGTAAGAAATATCGATACGCTTTGGTCCTGCCCCAGATCGGCGCTGATCCTCTCCCTCCCCTGTTGGGTTTTTGCTGCCACCCACCCACTCAGCCATGCTCGCGGCTCTTGCACCAGCAGGCCCCTGCCTCTCCTCCACGCGGGTCCAGACAACACCCAGGGTTCGAGCAAGGAGATCGAAGCGATGTGGGGCCGTCGCTCCACGAGCCAGTGAGTGTCGACCCCCGTCCGGGTGGCGGATGCGGGCGGGACCGAGAGCTCCCCTGGGCCAGCCGGTCATGACTGGCTGGATGCTGACCCACCTGCCGGCAGTCTCGGGGTGCCATGCATTTCACGATCCTCACCTCACATACATGATCACTCTCTTTCTCTCTGCTATGTAAGAGTCTGAAATCCCATCTCAACAAGAACCCCCCTCCGTCTCGCTTCGCCCAGTCTCGGTGGGTGGCGACGGCTACGTCGCCAACGGCTCGCCCGAGGCGGGCCACAGCCCTGCGCTCATGGAGCTGCTGCAGAGCGTGGCCACCGGGGTCATGTCCGCCAGCGACGCCGCCGTCCAGCTCGACGCGGTGACCCGCCCGGCGGCGGCCGCTGCCTCCGAGCACGGCGACGGTGGTGGCGAGGCCGGGGCCCCCCCGCCCGCCGCCCGCCCTGGCCCTCTCCGCCTGCCCCGAGGTGGTGTGGGGCGAGGGTAAGACGCCCAACCAGCTGCTGGCCAGCCTGCAGCGCATAGCAGGAAAGCAGGGCATCGCCGCCGCGACGCGCGTCGGCCCCGAGGCCGCCGCCGCGGTGACGGGCATGGACGACCGCGTACTACACAGCCCGGCGGCGCACATGCTGACGCTGAAGACGGGGCCCGCCAAGAAGCTGCCGGGGACGGTAGCCCTGATCTGCGCGGGGACGGCCTCGCCGCAGGTGGTGGAGGAGTGCCGCCTGGTGCTCCAGGCCATGGGCTGCTATGCTTTCAAGCTGCCGGAGTCGGGCGTGATGGGCATGCACAGGTGTGTTTCTGTGTTTTGGAGGGGAAGTAGGGGGGGGCGTAGCGGAGGGGGATTGGAACCATCAGGTGGAAGGGGGTCGGACAGTGGGAGAGGAAAATGCGTCTCCCATCATGGAGACGGCGTTTCCAGGCCAGAGTAGCGCAGAACGGGTGGACAGGGGACGGGGGGCGAGCAGTGATAACGGAGCAGGGGTGGGCTACATCTCGGCCTACCTCACACCTTCCGCTGTCTGAAGCTGGGATGCATGCCTTCAGCACTCAGCACCATTAAAGTGCACACACTCTCCAACAATCCCTATCCTGCAGGATCGTGCGGAATCTGGATGCCGTGCAGGCTGCTGACGTCGTGGTGTGCGTCACCGGCATGGACGGCGGCATCGCCTCCGTGGTGGCTGGCCTCGTGGACGTTCCCGTGGTGAGTCTTGATGTGGCAATGTCTCGCTGCTCGTGCATTCGCGAGAGGAGGAGGGATGCTAGCCGGCGATGGACGGTTCGTGTTGGTACATGGTCCCACTTCGACACCAGATCTTCAAATGCCGCAGTCACACCCTTTCACCCGCTGCGCCTCTTTCACCAGGCAACACCGCCAACCTCACACCTCGTCTCGCCGCTCATCATAAATCGCAGGTGGCACTCCCCACCAGTGCCGGGTACGGCACCGCCTTTGGCGGCGTGACCCCGCTGCTGGCCGCCCTCAACTCCGCGGCCCCGGGCGTCACCGTGGTTAACATAGACTCTGGGTTTGGCGCGGCCATGGCCGCCTGGCGCATCCTGGTGAACGCTGCGCGAGTGCGCAACGCCGTCATCCAGGCGCACGCCGCCGCCGGCCCCGGATGAGTTGCCGCTTGGAGGCCGGGCGGCCGACTCCCATGGGGAGGCTAGATTCACAGGGACCCAGCGAGAAATTGTGGGCGCAATGCCTGGATAGACCTTTCACCGCCTCACGTCGTGGTCCCCTTGCGCAGTCTGTGTTTGTGTTTACGTCCACGTGTGGCGCATCTCCAGCACTCCTTTTCCCCATAGAGCATGCCCCACTGGGGCTTCGCAGCATCTGCGATGCCTCCATTGACACACACACTGGCTGACCCTTGCTCTGTCTCCAGGACCTTGATGTTGTAGGAAGCACTGACCAGGGCAGGGTGTCAAGGGGTTTGGTGGGGAGGATGGGGATTCTGAAGAGCTGGGCTGTTAGGGAGGAGCCGTGGCTGAGAGTATGCAATACTGCTCTACCATTGGAAGTGACCCAGCAGCAGTTGCCACTCCCATTCCAGCAATGCATCCCATGCCAGGGCCAGGTGATCTTCCTTGCTCGTCGATGTCAATTGTCATAGCTCTGCACACGTCCCTTGGTACCATGCCATGCCTGTCAACCTCACGTGGGAATCCATGAGCAGCAAGTACAGGCATGTACAATTCCATGCTGGTGCCCGCCCACCTGCACGATGTCAAGTACGGTCTAAAAACTCTACCAGCCCAGCCAGCCTGGCGACCTCCTCCGACTCCAGCTCCCGGCCCAGCAGGCCCAGCAGCGCCTTGGCGCTGGCCGCGGCGCGCACACAGTGTCGCAGCCTGCTCAGCGCTTCGGCCGAGCCAGGCGCCGCGTCGCGCAGGCGCGCCCCGGCCGCCAGCGCGCCGCCCGCCAGCTCCCGCGCGGCGTCGGCGTCGACCCACTGCGGCCCCAACGCCGCCGCCTCCTGCTCGTCAACCTGGGGCGCCGATCCGAGCTGGAAAGCGAGCGCGGCCGCCACGCAGGCCCACACCTCCTCCGCCACCCGCCAGGTGAAGGCGCTGCCGGCGGACGCGGGCGTGGCGGCCGCCAGCGCCCGGTGCCAGCCCCCGTCCACCGCGTGCGGCGGCGGTCGGGCCGCGGCCGCGCGCTCCGAGGGGTCCAGCGCCGCGCAGACGACCTCCGGGTCGGGCTGGGCCGCCCAAGAAAGGAAGCGCGCGCTGGCGGCGCGCAGATCGGGCAGTGCGCCGGGCAGCGCTGCGCGCCAGTGCCCCTCCTGCCGCAGCAGCGCACTGGCCAGGAAGAGCGTGGCCCTGGCCTCCTGCGACGATGTGGGTGTGTGTGTGGCACGGAGATTCAGGTTTGAGGGGTCGAGGCCGGCTGTGCCGCACCTCAGGTGGAAGGACAAGGGCACTCGCGGATGGTCGCGAGGTGCGGCCCGCCGAATGGAGTGACGAGCCTCCAACGACGACGAGCTGCGAGACCCCTCACACGGCGCCACCAGCAGGCCAGCCTGCCGCGATCACCCTGGGGGCCCAGGTCCCCCATTCATGAATGCCCACTCCTCGGCCCCCGAACCCCTCACCCACCTGCAGACCCGCCAGCGTGAGTGGCTGCTCCGCGCTGCCCTCCGGCGGCTCCAGGGCCAGCAGCAGGCGCTTGTGGCTCAGCACGGCGACCTGCAGCGCGGCGGCCGCGCCCCGCCCCCGGCCCCCCTCGCCCAGCACCGCCAGCGCGGCCAGCGCCTGGCAGTGGAGCCCATGCGCGGCACTGCGCCGCCCGTCGCCCGCGTACGCGCCCGCGGTGTCAGGGTCCATGCCCCTGCCCCGCCGGGAGGCGCAACCCCCGCCGCCGGCGGCGAGATCCCGGCCCGAGACCTCGACATCCGGCGGCGCGGCACCCAACGCGGGGCCCTCCACCAGGCGCCGTGCCAGGCCCAGGAGGGCCTCGGCCCCACCCAGCTCCAGCACCACGCCCGCGCCTGGGGCGAAGGCGGCGCAGGCCAGGACCAGGTCCAGGGTGGGCGCGCCGCGTGGCGCGTGCCGCGGCAGCGTCGAGATGAGCGCACGCAGGTCCAGGTCGGCCGCGGCGGCCGCGGCCCAGGCGCCGGGCGCCAGGCCCCGGCCCACGACCCAGCCCAGCAGCGCCAGCAGCGCGGCGGCCTCGCCGTCCTCGGCGTGCCGCGGCGCGGCCGCCAGCAACGAGCAGCGGCGCAGGAGCGGGCGCAGCGCGCGGCCGGACGCCGACTCGACGCCCGCGTGGCGCCGGAGTCGGGCCGGAGGCGGAGGAGCGCCGGGGACACACCCCGCCGCGCCCAGGCGCCTCAGCAGGCAGAGCGCCGCCGCCGTGGCGACGGCCAGCACGCCCGACGCGCTCGCGGCCGGCGCGTGGGTGGCGGCAGGCTCGGGCCCCGACTCCGTCCTCTGCAGCACGACGAGCGTGCCCCCGCCGGTGCAGGCGCAGCGCTCAGCAGCGCGTGCACGGCGTCGAGCGCCTCCTCGCAAGCGAGCGCGAGGCCTCCAGCGTCCGTGCCCGTCCAGGAGCCCTCTGCGGCGAACCCAGCACGTTCCTCCTCCCCCGTCCCCGCGCCGACCAGCAGCCCCGCGGCACGCGCCTGGGCGGCCGCACCCTCCACATCCCCGCCCCCCGCCTCGCCCGACGCCGAATACCTCAGCAGCTCGAAACAGGTCTGCGCCGCGGCCAGGCGCGTCCCCGGGGCCAGGCCCCCGCCGCAGGCCGCCAGCCAGTCGAGCAGCGCGGGGCGCGCGCGCGTCTCCAGCGCCTCCCCGCGCTCAGCCCGCGCGCCGCGTGCGCGCAGCGCTGCCTCCAGCGCCTGCAGCGGGCGCGGGCACAGCGCGCCCAGCACGCCCAGCCGCCGGCGCAGCAGCGCCGGGTCCAGGCGCACGCGGCGCAGGAGGCCCTCGCGCGCCGCGCGCGCCGTGCTGGACGGCACCGCCTCGCGCAGCAGCGCCTCGGCGCCGGAGGCCTCCGGCCCGCTCAGGAGCGTGTGGAGCAGGGAGCCGTCGGCTGCCGCGCACTCGGCCAGGGGCGCGTCGGCGGCGTAGATTCCGCGCAGCGCGGCGACGAGGCCCCTGGCGGCCGCTTCTGTGCCGTCGTCGCGCGCCCCGCCCGCTTCAGGGGGCCGGGCCGAGGCCGCCCCCGGTCCGGGCCCAAGCACGGTGCGGAGGATGGAGGGAAGGAGGGCGGGGTCGATCGCGCAGCTGCGCCACCGGGGCCCGCCAGTCGGCCTCGCTCGAGGCGCCTGTGGTGAGCTTGTCCGGTGGAGGTGGGGTTGTCGACGACGATTTGGGGTGGCGCATGGGGCCTCAGCAGGCAGCCTTCAACCCTGACGTTGTCCTCCCTCCTCCCATCGTAGACAGGAGTAGCTCCCGCACCTCCCACCCCATCCCACCGAGCCCTTCACCTTGCCCGGGCGCCCCTGTCTCTGTCTGCCCCCGCCCGCCCTCCACCGCCAGCAGAACGAGCGCGGAAGCCAGCAGGCCCGGGGGCGAGGCCGGATCCCTCAGCACCTCCAGGGCCAGGCGAGGCAGCGCCATCACGGCGCGCAGCCGCCGCCAGGGCGCCGGCCAGCGCCCGCGCGCCGAGCACGCCGCCGCCGCGACGCGCATGAGCTGGGCGCGGGGCTCGGCCGGCAGCTCACCCCCGGCGCCCAGCGTCGCCGCCAGCGCGTCCAGGGCGGTGGCGTCAGGGCTCGCCTTCTCGTTGTCTCTGGCGCCGCAGGTTCCATCAGAGGCCCCGGCCCCCAAGCACAGGACCCCGAGCAGGCCGGCCTGGCGCGCACCCGGCGCCTCCTCCAGCGCCGCCAGCCACAGCGCGCAGCCGGCGGCGAAGAGCGCGGGCCGTGCGGCGGCGGCGGCGCGCGTGACCGCGCGCGACGTGACGGAGCAGAGCGCCGCCAGGGCGCCGCCGCCCAGCGCGGGCGCCAGCGCCA